GGTCTTCACCTCTCCCATGGTATGTTTACGAGGAGCTTGGTCCACTTCATACTCAAGGGGAGGGACTGGCAAGGGCATGAACACCTGAGCTGATGTAATGAGACACAAGAGGGAATGAGAGGGCTTTGAAAACAGAGAGGAAAGGCATGTGAGCCAGGACCCTTCCCCATCCCCAGGTCAAAAGAGGCCCAGAAATCTATATATCATTAGTGCTTAGGTAGGCTCCAGGGATGCTGAGGCCACACCAAGACCCATGTGGTTATCTTTTCTTTCTTCATAGGGAAGAAAGACAGAAAAAATTTAGACCAAAAGGAAAAAAAAAAAAAACTGGGCAGACTTAGAGGTAAAATTTTCAATGCTCAGCTACTCAACATAGCACTCATAAGGCTGATCTCACAGCAAGGCAGCAGTGGGCTGGAGGAAACACTGACTGCTCATTTTCCCAGACAGAACGTCACAGAGCAGCACTCTTCCCCCCAACCCCCCCGAACCTCCCCTGATTTAGTGAGAGCCAAGCCTCCTACCCCAGAGCATCCCACCCAGCCGAACATCTGGGACAGCCCTTCCCTATAGCAAATGTATTTCATGAATTACTCTAGCAAGCACAACCGAGCCTTTCTTTCTTTCTTTTTTTTCTTTTTTCGATCAACAGAAACACACCTCCAGGCATCTCTTGGCTGTCTCCTGCTCAGCAATAAGCAATCCGCTGTTTTCACCTGGGAGACAATGAAGCCTTGTCTGGCTGCAATTGTAGGGCAGGAAAAAAAAAAATAGAAACAGGTGATTCTCACCATCAAATCAAATAATCAGGAGCTGGGAGGGACACAGACTATTATCTTCCTTCCGTTTCAAAGAGAGCAACCCTCAAAACACCCCAGCAACAGACTCTTGTTTTTTTCCCTTGGGTCACCCAACCTTTGCCTCAACTCTCACAACTATTTATGTCATGTACAACAGAATCCTTCCTATTATAATGGACAGCATTTTCTCCAGCTCTGATCTCAGGGGTTGGGGGGGGAGGGATGAAGAACAGATGCCCTGACAGCTTTTCATATTTCATAGTTCTTACTGCGTCACTGTCAGCTTTGTCTGGCCACCAGGGAGGCGGGGACGCACAGGCTGCTGCTTTTTAGCTTTCTCGGCTTTGATCTGCTTGGCCTGCATGTTTGATAACAGGTAGCCTTTTTATCTGAGTGGATCAAAACTGCCTAGTTACACTCGAGTCAGCACAGCTGGAACTTCATGATTTATTTGTTCAACAAGTTACAGTGACAAGTGTTGGATCAGAAGTGACTGGTCTTAAACAGACGTCACTTAAGCATTACAGTCAGTCTTTCCTGACACCACTCAACATTCGGAAATGCAAAACCTGGGCTGTCTGGCCTTGGCTGCTTTGATCTGATTGAACTTTGTTGAAGTTTGGTTCCACCGGCCTCCAAAATTAAAACCAAAACTAGCACTTTTCTTATTTTAAAAATATTTATACATTAACAAGGCCCTCCTAGGCCTTAGGATCACAGAACTAACTCTAAGGAACACATCCAAAAATTGCACAAGTTACCCCAATAATCTTCAACAGCAGTACCAAAGCGAAGTTTATGAAGCATCTGCCATTTTTGTCCATTGCTTGTGATATGTTGTTGACTGGTGGACAAAAAGAGTCCCTATTTTTCAGGGATATGACAAAAAGTTGCCACCAGTAACCCACCAAAGTGGTAGCAAATCCAGAGTGATAACTGGTGTTCAGTCCTGAGTTGTCCCCGTGAAGTATTTTAACAACAATCAACACACATAAGTGTGTGTTGTTACACACATATCTGAGGAAACTCTGGTTTGTGGAAAATAGAATCAAAAGATAGTTATATTCTTGCAAAAAAAAATTTTTTTTTAAATGCATGCTTCTCAGTCGTCTTCAGAAAGCCTATGAGAAATGCATATTGTTTTTTAAAACACATAACTGTCAAACACTGCACCAAAATTAACATCATTTCATTCCAGTTCCACCACCTTTGGGAACACCATGGTACAGATTTAAGTGCCCCAAGTTTGCTTAGTCGTCACCCATGCTCTCCATAGCCGAACAGTGCCCATAATTACATGAGCACACTAGGTATTTAAATAAGAAACACAGCCGTGCCGCAATATCTGGGGGAAATAATCTTCACAATTTCACAAGTTCTATGCCTTAGGAAGAGAAAAAACTTTTGGTATTCGAGAAGTGCCCAGTACCAGCCGTGCAGGAAAGGATGGAGCCCATGGTACTCACAGGTGGACAGAATCATGGCTGCAGCTCCGCCGGAGTAAACAAACCAGCCTTCAGGTTCTCAGCCAAGCTCCACTCACAAAAGCACATCTTTGAAGTGAAATCATAGTTCACCCACGACCTTTCTCACAGGCGCAGTTAGCCCCACCTATTTTCCTGTTCTAAAAACCTCAGAGGAGTGTGTGAATGACAACGAATGGCCGACCTTGAAAGTGCACCCACATCCCTCCCCTTGCTACTCTAAGCTCCTCATGCCCAAATATGACAGATGCCAGCAAACACTGGCCAGACAACACAGAATCTTGGTAAGAGGAATATCTTAAAGATCACCAAGTCAAACTGTCCCCTCTGGACAGAGAATGAAATAAAAGAGAACCGAAAGGATTAGGGACTTGCCCAAGGCCCCAGAGAGTCGGGGGGAACAGACTTACAGGTCTGGGAACGTCAAATGCAGAATATTCCGCCTGCTCACTTGGGAGGAGAGACTCCAGAGCTCTGGCTTAAGGGTGGGTACAATCTACTATCACACAGGGTGACAACCCCAGCCACACCCCAGCCTGCACTGGGGAGCACTGCTGCATCACCATGGAAACCAGAACCAAAAACTTGCTAAGGGAACAACTTCACAGGGACCCGCCATCACCACACTGCTCCTGCTTTCGCATTCAGAGGGGATATCTCTCGGTTTTACTTCACCTTTTGCCTTCCATATTCTCTCATATAGAAAGATTTTCTTCAATATTTTTGAAGAAAACCTTGCCAAAGATTGCCAAATGTGGTCATTCTTGGGTCCTCCTCAGAGGTAAATGACTGTTAGGGTACAGACTTGACCCTCCCCTTCCTCTCACCAACATCAGCTAGTTCTTCCCAGAGGGGAAGGATGGAAAGGTGATGGGAGGAGGCAGGGAGTGGACGGTGGCAGAAGAGTGCCGCAGTCACAGCAAAGGACCCTGGGACCAGCCCCTGAAACAATGTACAAGCCAGTGAGAAGGTGCCCCTGTCTCTGTGACGTCAGGCAGGGGAGGGCAAAAGCGGCAAGCTGTGGCAAGACAGGACAAATACTTCTTACCGCTACAGAAAGAATGCACATTACCTTCAGCACACGACTTCCTGGCACATGGATTCCAGACAGGCCATGGTGAAGAGAAAAGCTCCTGCAGGGGTCAGAGACAGGATGCAGCTCCCAGCAGGCCTAGGTGTTCACCCAAGCAGCCTCCACAGGGGATGGGGCTCCCAAAGAAAGACCCCAGGTTGGCCACAGCTTTCCAACCACTCCCCCTACCCCGCCCAGAGTACCGAGTGAGGCCATCAGTGGTCTCCTACCAGTGACTGGGACAGGTCTGTGTTCCCTGCAGCACCTGAAGATAAACGAGGCTCCACTGGAGCTGGCATCTCAGTCGGAGGCTATGAGGGTGAGAAACCTACACCATCAAACTGCATAGCAGGGCCTATGGCAAAGCTTTCCCAGATTCCCCGATCTTGACACCCAAGTCGGTCCAGGCCTCCCAAAAAACGACTGGGAAACATCTAGGAATATCACTGTCCCTGGGGCCCCTCCAGGACTCCAGACCACAGTTGGAGCATTTGCTGAGCCCTTCTGTGACCAGCTTCACCTGAGCACTGTGCTCTGGAACCCAGCACCTGCAATCAGAACCTACGCCCTGTGGCAGCTTAACACAGGAACTGACTCACACCCACCTGACAGTCCATCTGATTCCAATTAGCCATGAACAGCGTGGGCAGGACCACAGAGCCTAGACTCAGGTCCAGCTTAGAGCTAAAGAAGGACAGGTACCCCCAGACATAAACTTCCTAAGTCTAGCTAAGCGTGCATGTGTGTGAGGGCATTAGCAAAAGGAGACATTTTCCTCTTCAATAAGAATATCTGGGGGCTTGCACATCAGCTCAACTGACTAATCCTCTGCCTGCAAGTACCAGCATTCTATAAAGGCACCAGTTTGTGTCCTGGCTGTTCCCCTTCCCATCCAGTTCCCTGCTTGTGGCCTGGGAAAGCAGTAGAGGACGGTCTAAAGCCTTGGGACCTTGCACCTGTGTGAGAGATCCAGAAGAAGCTCCTGGCTCTTGGCTTCAGATCAGCTCAGCTCAGGTCACTGCAGCCACTTGGGGAGTGCAGATGGAAGATCTTTGTCTCTTGTTCTCTGTATAAATCTGTATAAATCTGCCTTTCCAATAAAAATGAACACTTTTAAAAAAATATTTGATCCCTAGGGGTACAGAAATTAACAACTGTAGGGCATAGTCTCTAGAGCTGAGAAAGTTAACTCCTGTGATGCCAAATTAGAATTTTCAATCAAAAGACAACTCATGTTTCTTATAAATATAAAACTTTATATATTATATATATATCTACAATATATACAGCATGCAAATATTTTTCATAGCAATCTTGAAAACAGAGATGCTTTCATTACAAAAGATGGGCACTTTGCAAGGTAGGTAGGTTCCTGATTCACCTAGATCCAATTCTAGACTAGGCCCTGGGCCGATACTTCTGGAAAGAAAAAGGGAGGAAAGGAGATGCCGGAAGATGGGTCCGACATCCTCCCCCCTCCCAAACACCCAGGCCTGATAGCTGACACCAGCTTGCGATGGCCAAACCTGTGGCCTGGGCACGGTGCCTGGCCCACAATCAGCACTCAGTGACTGGGCAATGAAGAGAAGTGATTGCTGTGATCACCCTCTGCAAGGCAGTGTTTCCATAATCTGGAAGAGTCAGTCACAGAGCTAAGGCTGGCCTTGAAGTACGTGCTTCAGGTGTTTCCACTTTGTAAGCACACTCAGGCAACCAGCCAGAGCCATTTCCTTCTCACGCTTTGGAATCCGGGAGCCACGGGTCACAAGAATGCTATCTTCCAAAAGTCTCTTCACATTCGACAAGTTCATCTATTGTGCGCAGCAACTCTTCAAAAGAAGGCCTTCCTTCTGGTTTCTGTAATTAAAAGTCAAAGAGAACAGTGGGTTCCAGAATCCATTCCACAGTTTTTCGTTGCTTAAATCAATGCTTTGCAACTAGAATAAGCAAGCACCTATCTCCAAGCAGGTCTATCCCTGCCTATCTAAGTACTGTGTGCCCGGCTAGACTAACCTCTCATAGGCACTGCTTTCATGCCCTGTTTCTAGAACCTAATACAGCTTCTCAATACATACAAGATCAAGTCTTCCAGAGCCCTTTGTAACCTGACCCTCCCCCATCCCCTTGTTACCCAATCTCATTTCCCACAAAAACCCTCACGTGTGCTCACTGTCAGCTAAACCAGACCGATCTTGCTCCTCGTGTGCACATGCTGTCTTCATAACCACCTCCTTACCTCCGTTCACTCTGTTCTCTCTCCACCTAGTACCACTTCCTGCCCAGAAAGTCTCTACCCGTGCCACTCACTGCTCTTGGGAGGTGTTCCAGCGAGTGACTGAGAGCCTGGCTTTGGTGTCTGATGGCCCGTGCTGCTCTCTGCCAGCACCAGTTTCACGTGCCTCAATCTTCAAATCACAGTAAAACTATACTTCAAAAAGGTTTCTGGTGTGTTTCTTTGAAGAATTATTTACTTGCCTCTTTGAAATGCAGAGCTACAGAGAGAGGAAGGAATCAAGAGAGAGAGAGAGAGAAGACCTTCCATCTACTAGTTTACTCCCTAAGTAGCTGCCAACAGCTGGGGCTGGGCCAGGCTGTAACCAGGAGCCAAGACCTCCATCCAGGTCTCCCATGTGGATGGCTGAAACTCGAGCAGTGGGCCATCACTCACTCAAGTGCATTAAGAGAACTGTCCAGGAGCAGTGCAGTTGGAGCAGCCCCCAGACACAGCCTGACACCCTGTGCCACAACACCTTCCATCAAAAGGCTATTGTGAGAACAAAATCTAATCCACTCAGTATAGTACACTGCACATAAGCCAATGTTGCTGTCTTTCTAAAGTCGTTTTGGCGTCTCATCTCTTCTTTGAGGGGACATTTCAATGTCTCCACAGACTGGGTGAGGATATCTGGGGATCTTGAGGTCTAGAAAAGGAAATTCTGCTAAGAGTAGCTCCTCGGGGGACACATCTAGTGCATATGGACGTGCTTAGGTTCAAGTCCTAGGTCTGCTTCTGATTCCAGCTCCCTGATGGGCGCACCCTGGGGCAGGGGGACAGTACTACCCTCAGGGGAGCTTGGCTTCAACCTAAACCAGCCGTGGCTATTGCAGACACTTGAGGAGGAAAGCAGTGGATGGAATCTCTCTGCCTTCCTGATAAATAATATACATAAATAAGTAAATAAAAAGTGGATGCTTTAAATCGCACAGGCTCAAAGGAGGAGACCAGCTTTTCTAAGCCTATTCCCTGAATCAGACAACTGTGAGAGAGAATTACACCTGGGAGACAGGCAACAGCCTGCACTGATTAATATAGTTGTTAGCATTTTCCATTTCTTCATGGTATTCTCCCCATTACCCAGAATTTGGTTGAAAGGATGGCCTTCCTACCTAGAACTTGCAGCCCCTGTCAAAGATGCACCACCACATCTAGCCTAGATGGACTGCTCATTACTCATCTAACAAGCCCAATCCTTAAATGCCTGAGAGATTCAACAAGAAAACATAAAGAAAAAAACCATACCTCGTGCCAACATCTCAGCATCACATCATAGATGTATTTGGATGCCAACTTGGGCCGGTAGAGTCGGTGGCCACGGGTAACCATGGTTACCACTTCATAGTTGGTGTTTTTTTCAAAGGGCATCCTGCCCTCAGTGAACACCTCCCACATTAACACACCTGGAAAAGGAGAAGTAGTTTTCAAATGCTGTGCGTGCTTCCTCTACAGTGCAGAGCCAAGGACACGTGGGCCAGGAGCTTACCAAAGGACCAGACATCCGACTTGCTGCTAAAGCGGCTGTAATTAAACACTTCGGGTGGACACCATTTCACTGGAAATTTAGCGCCAGAAGAACTTGTGTACTGATCATCCAGAACATACCTAGCATAAGACACATCACAGATTGACACCTCCAAAGCACCACCTGTATTCTGCACAAGTCCTTTCAGTCTTCTCCCCTTACGATCAAAACCTCAGTTGACCGAAGCCCAGCAAGGATCCAATGGGAGCTAAAGATAGACCTCAGGGGCCTGAACATTCCCACCTTCCCAACTAACCTGGATGCACTACCTCACTGCTCTCTGCACTTTCATTCCTGTTCATCTTTTTGTCTGGAGGCAATCAAGACAGCATACAGTAAGAGTTTGCCAACTTATTAGCAAGCAGTTTTGTTCCTTAAGCAAAATTCAACCCAAAGGCTCCAGAGGTGGCAGAATTAAAGCAGCTTGTCTCTAAAGGCAGTGCCGTGAAGCAGCCACAGATTCATGTACTTTTAGCTCAGCACCGCTTGAACTACAGCATAAGACAAGATACACATGCAAAAAATGTACAAGGACATACGCAAGAGGTGCATACATTTATGTACTGTGACATCCCCACATGTACATGGGTACACTCAAACCCCTGCAGTAAGAGTGTCCCCAAGGAAGGACACTCAGAAACTGGTAACACTGGTTACCTTGGTAGAATCCTTAAGGACAGGAGCTAAATGGGAGACGTCAGCCCTGCATGCATTTACAAGAGGGATACAGGCATGTAGTATGAGGGCATATAAAATTAATTTCTAAAAGTCGTTAGGAGGTAAACAGTCGAATAGTTGCACACATTTCTTGTGTTCTACAGCATGGTGATTCTCCCCCAAGCTAGCAGGCAACTGACAGACAATACCACCACAGTTGGGATCAAACTGCTGCCAGTCCATGCAGGCCAGTTTGAGTGTGTGGACTATTTCAGAGGAGCTGATAACAGCAGTTTTTCCAAAAACCAAATAAGTGAACAGGGAGCATACGAAAGCACAGGGCCACCTGTCTGATACAGAGCATAGAAAGCAAATGAAGAGTACTGCAAATTAATACTCAAAAATCAAAATCCTTGTTCCATTTCTATCAGGCATGGGTACCCTGGCCCTGGCTTTTATGATTTTAGTATATTTTTTATCGGAAAGGCAGATTTACAGAGAGAAGTAAAGACAGAGGGAAAGATTCTCTATCTGCTAGTTCATTGCCCAATTGGTTGCAACAGCCAGAGCTGGGTTGATATAAAGCCAGGAGCTAGGAGCTTTTTCTGGGTTGCTCACATGGGTACAGGGTCCCAAGGCTTTGAGACATCCTTGACTGCTTTCCCAGACCACAAGCAGGGAGCTGGATCAGAAAAGGAGCAGCCTATACAAGAACCGGCACCCATATGGGATCACAGCAATTGTAAGGGGAGGATTAGCAAATTGAGTCATAGTGCTGGTCCCCAGCCCTGGCTTTCTGAGAGTTCCCAGAACTGCCTGGGGCCAATCACCTTGTCCCTCTTCTGGTTCCCTGAGAAAGCCAAACTAGTCTCAGACTGCAAACTCCAACCATGTTTCTGCTTCCACTAGGAGTCTTTCATCCAGAACGCGTCTGATTGACTCCTTCTCATCTTGTTGCCCTCATTCAGACATATCCCTCTCAGCGAGAGCTTTCTCACCATAGACACTCAGCAGGTACCAGCTGCCGCTGCCCTACCCAAAGCCACACCTGATCCCCTCCCACCCGCCAGCCACACTCTCCATCACAGGGACACATAGAACAGTTCTCATTTCCCAGGATATGCAGCCCCCATCAGTGTCTGAACTTCACTTTTGCAGGGTAAAAGCACCTGCAGTCAACAATGTGAACTAAGGAGTGAGGCTGCATCTTGGTACACCATAGCGAGATGATAGCTACTATATCTGAATTTCAGATCATTATCAGGTGTTACAATACTCGTTTTTTCTATCATTTCAAAATATAGAGCACATTGTTGGGCTCACAGGCAATACAAAAGCAGGTCTTGGGGCAGGGGATAGGTATTGGTTAGGCTCAGCAGTTAGTACACAACTTGGAACACTCATATCGCATATCAGAGTGCCTGGGCTCATGTTCCAGCTTTCCTCCCTATTCCAGCTTCTGAGAAGCGCTGGCTCAGGCCTATGTAGCAGAACCAGACTGGGTTGCTGGATCTTGACATCTGCTGGGTCTGGCCCTATCTTTGCTGTTGCAATTATTTGGGGAGTGAGCCAGTAGATAGATACATCTCTCTCTCTTCCTCTCTCCAGGTTTCAAAATCAAATAAGATAAACAAATAAAAGTTAAAACTTGAAAAAACAACAGGTAAGGAGTACATGGCCAGCCCACTGTCTTCAGAGCACTGTTCTAGCACTTAAGTCTATCCTCAGGCCTTATGTTCCTCCCTCCACTGAACACAAGGTGCCTGTGGGCAGGGACTCAGATGTCTTGCTCTCAGGTTCAGCCTAACACTAAGCCTTGTAGACAGTAGGCATTGCGTTTCTAATATATAAATGGATGAACATAGGAAGAGACAGAAGGAGATAAAGAAGAAACTACATGGGAAGATGCTTCATGGGAGATGAAATAAAATATTCTTTAGGGACAGCTGTTTGGTCTGGTGGCTATGATACTGGTTAGGATGCCAGGTCCCACAACAGAGTATCATGAGTCCGTCCCTGCTCCGGCTCTTGATTCCAGTGGCCTACTACTGTGGGTCCTGGGAGGCAGTGGTGATGGCTCTAACAATTGGATCCCTGCACTGACATACGAAACCCTGACTGCGTTTCCAGCTCCTGGCTTCAGCCCTCCTAGCCATGTTAAGTAGTTAGAATGAACCAAAGGAGGAGGAAACACTCTGACTCTCTAGTTCTCTCTCTCCTCTCTCTCATTCTCCCTCTGGATCTCTAGCTTTCTGTCACTGGCATGACTAATTTTTTAAAGTTAAGTTTGTTTGTTTTTTTTAAAGATTTATTTTATTTTTATTGGAAAGGTGGATATACAGAGAGGAAAGACAGAGAGGAAGATCTTCCGTCCAACGATTCACTTCCCAAGTGAGCACAACGGCCGATGCTATGCCGGTCCGAAGCCAGAAGCCTCTTCCGGGTCTCCCACGCGGGTGCGGGGTCCCAAAGCTTTGGGCTGTCCTCGACTGCTTTCCCGGGCCACAGGCAGGGAGCTAGATGGGAAGCGGGGCTGCTGGGATTAGAACCTGTGCCCATATGGGATCCCAGGCGTGAAAGGCGAGGACCTTAACCACTGCGCCATCGCGCCGGGCCCAAGATAAGTTTATTTTGATTCAGCGCAGGTATGTACAGCTGAGCACACTGGCTCCCTGGGGAGAGGGCCTCCAGGACAACCCAATCTTGGAGGTTAGGTTTTTTGATCTGCACAGGTTCCTGTAGCTGGGTCATGTCACTCTACACCCCCCACCCCCAAAGGGGCCAATAACCCACTGGTGTGTGTGAGAGCTGCCTCTGGGAGAAGGCTCAATTGAGGAGGGAAACTTCTTTATTGGGATGCAGACCCTGTAGGTGAGTGCAAGAAGCAAGGCAAGGAGCAGCCCAGACCATGACAGGTAATACTTGCTGGCACACGTGTGGGTCAGGTCTGGGGACAGATCAGACTGGGCCAGTACATAACACCCACTGGCAGATTTGAGAATCAGGGCAGAGGGCAGGAGGAGTCAGAACAGGGCCACAATACCAGCCAGTTCACATTAGGACTGGGACAGCAATGAGGCCGGGTTGGGATAGGCAGCAACACCCAACAGTAGGAGCTGGAACAGGGGGTAGACTAGACTAAGCCAAATGGGGTAATAAAACTGCAGACACTGAGGTGAGGCGAGTTGTCAGCCTAGGCCCAGATGGGGCTGGGGATGTGAGTCCCAGGGATGGGCGATCTGACAGGGGCCAGGTAGTTTGTTTCAGGGATGGGTTCCTGAGCCCTGAGGACAGGGGAACCGGGGGGCTTGGGTTGCTTGGCCCAGATCCTGGGGCCTGCCTTCTAGGTGGGTGTTGGTTTCATGAGTTCCAACCAGGAGTTGGGGATATGGCGGGGCTAGGTCTCCTGGCCTGGGCTGAACTAGGTAAGTGCTGGGTTCGTGAGCCCAAGGGGTGGGGCATTCAGCAAGGCTCAGGTCACATGGTCTTGGGCCTGGGGCCTACCTACAAGGTGGGTGCTGGGTTTATCAGCCCCAGGGGTGGAGGATCTGGTGGAGCTTGGGACACCTGGCCCAGGTACTTCGATTTGCCTGCAAGAACATGTCCTATTTAATGATAAAGGTGGAGCAGTGGACACAGACCCTGTTGTAAATGGAGAATAAGGCAACTCATTTGGTGCTGTAGCAGAAGAAGGAGAACAGAACAAACTGGACAACTACCCCAAACAATCAATCACAGCAAAAACTCTCAGTGAATGGAGCCAATGGACGTGGGGAGGGTGACATCATCCTTGGATCAGTGAAATCAGCAGCATTTCAGAACTATCCACACCACCTGGACAGAAGCCCCTGAATATGTACACACTGAGACTCTGGGTTGATATGAGGTGGCGGTTCCTCATCCCTGGGTCCTGGGGCGTGTGGAAAGCCATGTGTGGTTTTCCTCTTTGTCTCTCCCCTTCCCCCAGGAATAACAAGAAGAAATAGCAAATTTGGAAGCAATGAGTTCATCCAATTTTTCCTAAACCTTGATCCTTTTCACCATGATCAACCATATAATCATTATTTTAAAATAAAATTTAAAAAATTTTAAAAGGTAAGTTTATTTTGGTTCAAATGTCACTTTTTATATCTAGGCAAAGCTTTTCATAATACGCATTTTCTTTCTAACAAGTTTTTTCTTAATTTATTTATTTTTAATGGAAAGACAGATAAACAGAGAGATGGAGAGACAGAGAGGAAGATCTTCCATCCAATAATTCACTCCCCAAGCAACCACAATGACTGGAGCTGAGCCAATTCAAAGCCAGGAGCCGGGAGCTTCTTCCAGGTCTCCAAGACGGGTTCAGGGTCCCAAAGCCCTGGGCTGTTCTCGACTGCTTTCCCAGGCTACAAGCAGGGAGCTGGATGGGGAGCAGAGCCGCTGGGATTAGAACCAGTGCCCATATGGGATCCTGGCGCGCCCAAAGTGAGGACTTTAACCGCCAGGCTACCGTGCTGGGCCCAAAAAGTTTTTTCTTTGGAAAGGCAGATTTACAGAGAGAAAGATCTTCCATCCACTGGTTCATTCCCCAATTGGCTGCAACAGCTGGAGCTAAGCTGATCTATAAGCTAGGAGCCAGGAGCTTCTTCCAGGTCTCCCATGTAGATGCAGGGTCTCAAGTACTTGGCCAATCCTCTACTGCTTTCCCAGGCCACAGAGAGCTGGATGGAAACTGGAGCAGCTGGGACATGATCCAGTACTCAAATAAGATGGTAGTGTTTGTAGGTAGAGGATTAGCCTGTTGAGCCACCATGCTATCCTTACAATATGAATTTTTTATGAACTGTTTGAAGCCCTCTCATATATGTGTGTTCAAATTTTTTGTACAGAATGTATTATTTTAAAAATATTTATTTATTTGTTCAAAGCACAGAGTGACACAGGAAAAAAAAGAGAGACAAGAAGAGAGATTTTCCATTTGCTGGTTCACTTCCCAAACGGTCTCAACAAGGGCTAGGTCAGGCGGAAGCCAGAATTAGTCGCTTTTTCCAAGCCCCGCACGGGTGGCAGGAGCCTAAGCACCTGGGCCATCTTTCACTATGTTCCCAGGCTTATCAGCATGGAGCTGGATCAGAAGTAGAGCAGCCAGGACTCAAACCAGCAGGCAGGAATTGCCACATTGCAGGTGATAACTTACCCAGCTACAACACAATGCCAACCCCCAAATTTGTTTCAGCTCCATTACTTTTTCAAATATTTTGAACTTTTCTGAAACTTTTTAATGGTCTTTTCTAATATTGTGTTAATTAGATAGATTCAAGGAATAAAAAACATCACCATAAAAAGAGTTTCTGTGAAAACAAGATTCTGGAAATTTAACTTGCAGAGACAAAATACTGTGTTTAACAGGCTATACTGCCACCTAGTGGAGCAAATTACTAGATAATAATACATACTTATAAATTCTCAGAACTTCTAGCAGTATTTCCCATCTGCATCATCAGGGAGGATTATTCCTACACGTATTAATTCTATAAAACAACACAATCATCACCTAAAACTACACATACTCAGTCATACCTGGCCATTCCAAAGTCCGACACTTTGACAACTCCCGCCTCATTTACTAGACAATTTCTGGCAGCCTGGAAAACATGATGGCATTATAGTTTAAAAGTTACATAATAAAGGCAGAAACATAAAAATCCTGTTTTTATTAAATTTATTATAACTCAGTCACCATGTACAGAGAGTGGAAACTTCCTTAGAAGTTGCCTTTATTCTTTCCCACCCCCAACATACAAGTGTTTCCATGTACTTGAAAGAATGGCTAGAGACAAGTCAGAAAGGCCTGTTTGCAAAAGGACTTACCAAATGGAATCATTATACCTACAGTCCTTTCTACACGTGGGCTAATAGAAAGGTGAACCCTTTTTGCGCCCCCAGTCCTATTTTAATTAAACTATGTGATTTTTGTGTTAGAGGGACATCTGTTGATATCTTCCATCCAGGTTCTCGTCAACTGAGCTTAGTAACCCATAACCATCCAAGAAATGGGTGACCAATCTACTCCAATGCCTTTGTTCAATGACTGTTCAATCTCACCCACTAACAATGAAAAGAAAAGCTACGTGTAAACATAGTTTGCTTTTTCATTCATGTTTCCAGTACATGATAATACAGTACACTAAACTGGTCAATTGTGAATTTTTAAATTTAGATTTTCTTGTGATTCTTCAAGACTCTAAGATTCAAGAAAAATTGTTTGATAAAAAGTCATAGTATTTCTCAGAAGTAAAACATATTTTTAATATCATAAAGCATGAGCCAAGCTTACTTCCCAACTATCCACAAGCTTATTTTCCATATTATAGTAATACCACTTACTTCCCTACTGAGTGTTAACATTTATTTCTTAGGCAGCCTCCACCTTCCTGAAAAATACCCCACAAGGCATTGACTCAACAGGACTTCCCAAGCCCCTCAGGATATATGAATCTTCCCTTAAGGGGTAACACAAACTTATCATCAATATTGTATCAAAAACTGCTTTCACTAAGACGTGTTCTGTGTGGACAGGTGCAGTCTGCCATAGTCATGTCCAGTTTCAACTTTTAGCAGCTTTCAAAGTACAAAAAAGAAGATAGTGCCTAGCTCTTGAGTTTCAGCGTTCTTTGTCATCACTGACTGCAGTGCTGGCAAGAACGGCTGTTACACATAGCAGGTCGGTTTTACCAACCCACTGCCTAACCGCACAACGGGATCTTTACAACAGTCCTTTGAGCAAAACAATGTTACACCCAAAATTCACAGACATGGAAACAGAGTGTCAGCAAGACTGTGACTGTCACAAAACACATACAGGAAATCAAGTGTTCTATCTCCAAATCCTCAAATCCCTGCCATGCTTTAGCTAGAGATGACGGCAACACAGCAGTTACACTACAGAATCTAGAGCCAAACTCCCGGTGTTCAAATCCTGGCTCTACAACTTACCTAACCACTGGTCAGTTACTTCATACTATTTACAGAAACACAGTACCAATTTTTTAGTTATTTTTATATTCATGAAATATTTGTTACAGCCATGTCTAATAATCGTGATCCTTAAATTAAAAACAAAATTAAAAAAAAAGGGTTTTCCTGCTACTCTAAAACACAGGCATCCAGGCTTGATCACAAGAAAGCAACATAGAGATGAAGAAAGTCCCAGAGGCTCTGGTGAAAGAACTATCTTTGAGGTTCAATAGCAACGGACTGATAGGATGAGGACAGACTCATTTGTGAAGAAAAACAAAGGAAAGAATGGAGCACACAGGAAGAGTAGAAAGAGAAAAAAAGATGTTTTTCATCACAATAAATTAGAGCCAGTAACAGACTTCCTGTCCCGGGATGCTCAGAAGTTAACATGAGTCTCCCTCTTTCCCCTGTGATTTGAGAGAAAGAATGAACAAAACAATTTCTTTTACAGGTTTTGTTTATAGCGTGTGAGGTGAAAAAGAGCTTGGGATTCAGTCAGAAGGTCAAAGCCAACATTAATTTCCCTATGCATTACAGCAAGCAACCATTTCATGTCCCTAAACTAACTTTCTTCTCCAAGGGACAGTGTTGAAATAAAATCTGCTGCCTCACGAGGTTCTTCCAGTTATCAAACAACCACCAAGGGTGTGGAATTTGGAGACTGGAACTACATAAATCATTATATTTAATAAAGACTTTTCCATTAAGATAATGGAGCAAATAAAATTTACAAAGCTTATAAAGAATGGTAGGTAACAGCCCTTTGGCTCACAGGTAAAACTGTTGCATGGCATGCTGGCATCCCACATGGGCATCTGTTCAAGACCCAGCTACTCCACTTCTGATCCAGCATCCTGCTAAGGTGCCTGGGAAGCAGTGAAAGGTGGCTCAAATGCTTGGGACTCTGCATCCATATGGGAGACCTTGTTGAAGCTCTGGGCTCCCAGTGTTGGCCTGGCTTCTGTGACTATCTGAAGAGTGAACTATAGGATGGAATATTTCTCTCTTTCTGTATCTTCCTCTTTCCAATAATTAAATAAACCTTTTTAAAGTGGTGTAACACATTTAAGAACAAGCATTGGGCATTATGCCTCATTGTGTCTTTTCTCCAACAAATGGGCATGTCGGGGCAGTGGGCGGATGGGGAGAGGGTCATGCTTACCAGATCTCTGTGGATGAAGCTGTTTCTCTCCAGGTACTCCATGCCTTCACACACATCCTGACACATGCTCAGCAGCACATCTCTGCTGAAATGCCCTTGTCTCTGCCGGAGAAAATTCAGAAGGCAGCCCCGCTCCATGAACTCGGTGACAATGTAGATGGGTTTCTGCTGGGTGCATACGCCGTAAAGCTGAACTAACTTCGGGTGTGTCAATTTCCTGAGAAGGAAGGCACAGGTGCATATGGGTACCAGAGAACATAAATCTTCAGGGGTGTGGGCCAGCAAGGGGCTGGGAGTAACTCACATCATCACTTTGGCTTCTTCTATAAAGTCCTCCTCACACATGGCGCCTTCCCTTATAGCTTTGATGGCTACTTTGTACTGGGCTCGCCACTTGCCAAGCCTCACCACTCCAAACAGTCCACTGCCCAACTCCCTCATGAAGGTCAGCTCCGAGGGGTTAATCTCCCACTTCTCTGGAAGACAGTAGAGGGTAAATGTTAATATCTAAACCAAGAATGGAGAAAAGTCAAACCAACGTCAGGCTCCAAGGTACAGGATAACATTGCAATTGTGACAGAGAATACACCACCTACATGGGATCTGCAGTCGCTTTCCACCCCCTGGGAAGGACACAGCCCCGCTAGACTGCCACCATGCCAGCAAAGTGAACTGAAGAAAGCATGAAAACACTGCCAAAGACACTAATTCCACTAGAGCTGAAGCTCAGTGCTTTGAAGAAAAAGCAAATACCTCCTCATTCACTATTCTTCTCCCTGGGATTTTTGTTTTTCTTTTTCTTTTCTTTTTCAATTTAGAGCTAGAAAGGATTGAGCCTGAACAAAGAGCATCTGGCTAGAGATTTCTCTGCTCCTCCATCCTTACATTCTTGGCAGTAACAACAAAGCCCGTGATAACCACTTTCCCTGTCAGATGACAATGCTTATCTTTCCCTAATAGAACATTTCTTACTCAATTATCAATAATGTTGAAAATACAAAATATTTTAATACCCATACTATAAAAACCTATAAAATCATTTCCACTGTGTAGCATTCTATATACCTAAATTTGTCTGGTGATCATATACATATATACATATAAGTGTATATGTATATATGTCAAAGCATATAGCAGATCTCATATATATGAGAGAGATATATATATATAAAACTTTTAAATATAAAAGCATAGACCTATACAAATCTTTCATCCACAGGTTTATTTCCCAAATGCCCATTAGGACCAGGGTTGGGTCAGGCAGAAGTCAAGAGCCCAGAATTCACTCTGGGTATCCAACATGGATGGCAGGGATCAAAGGACCTGTGCCACCTCCTGCTCTCTCCTGGGATTTATATTAGCAGGAAGTTGTAAGCAAGAGTAGAGCTAGGATTTGAACCCAGGCACTTTGATTATGGGATGTGAGCATCTAATCATTAACTAAACATCTGCCTCTGGAAATGGATTCTTTCCCAGGAAAAGCAGCCCATGTGATGACAGCATGACAGTTACCATAGCTGAATCCTGCAGTGGTTGGAGCATTCTTCCCCTTGGTACTAACGGGGTATCGCAGCCTGGTGACAAGTCCTAGAAACCAAAGACGATACTATAGTTGAACTCCTTCTTTAACCATTCAGTACAAACACTAAAGCACAAATTCACAAAATGTGTTTATTTATTGATCTACTTCTGACCTTCTGTGTGCACAGACAACATTGTCCTATATGCTTTGACTCATTCAACACTTTGTTTTACATACTATCAGGAGCCTTGCTAGCTTCTGTACTTTTCAAATACTTTAAAGGATACAAAAGGCTTTCCCTACATGAGATCTGAACTATGAAAGAGATTTATAATTATCAGGCTGCTAAATCCAATGTGATTTACCTGACATAACTCAATGTTGGTACTCTAATAATTTCTTAAATTTATTTACTTAAGAGACAGAGAGTGAGGCACACAAAGATCTCCCATCTGCTCATCCACTTCCCAAATGCCCACAAGAGCTAGAGCTGGCAGGCTGAAGTCAGAGGCCAGAAACCCAATCTGGGTCTCACCTTGAGTGGCAGAGACCCAACTACTTGAGCCACCACCTGCTGCCTATCACAAGAAACGGGAATCAGAAGTGGAATAGGACATATAGGCCTTCAAAGCAGTGACTTAACTGCTACGTCAAATATCCACCTCAAGGCTAGCAATCATATCACAAACATCATGCTCCACAACACTAACAGTAGATATTTAAATTCTTGAAAATGAGTCAAGTGCATCAAACATTTTAAGTAGGTTGCTTATTATATTAAATAAGAAATAGGGGTGCCTCTTCTACCCATGGCCCTCTGCATTCCCTTTATTGCAACAAGTTTCAGAGTAATTTTAAATAATTATGTGCCTCTCTGTTTCCCCAAGATAAAAGGTCTTGGAGAATTAGTATCAGTCAAGTCCATCACTGTCTCCCCAAAACCTGGACTAGTTCCTGGATACAGCAGGTACTAAATACATGCTTAAGGATTGAAGTAAGATAGTGGTAAAGAGTAAAAACTATACACAAGAAAGAAAAAAATAGAGGAATATGAATGCCACAGAAGAAAATAAACAGAATAAGAAATTTGAAGAGCCAGCCATGTAGTGCACTGGGTTATGCTGTCACCCAAAACACCAATGTTTTGGAGTCCCAGTTCCAATTCATTACTCCACTTCCGATCTAACTGTCTACTGATGAGCCTGGAAAGCAGCAGATGATAGCTCAAGTACAAAGACATGCCACTCAAACAAGAAAACAGGATGGAGTTCCCTGCTCCTGGCTTTAAACTGGCCCAGACCCAGCTGTTTCGGCCACTAGAGGGTGAATGAGCACATGAAAAAGCTCTTTATAAAATAAATAAAATAAAATGGTATTTTAAAAAGTTCTTCAGGATATAAAATAAAATAGATTAGTTCCTCAAATGCACAACACAAAATTTATCTTATCAGAAAATGCATTCCTAAGTAAAAATCCAAGAGAAATCAAACAATTTTGCAAAAACATGTACCCAACTGTTCATGGCAGCATTATTTATAAGGGCCAAAATGTGGAAACAATCCAAATTTCACCAACTAATGAGTGATAAGTAAAACTGGAAAATAAAACTCATATAATGGATTCATATAATGGATTATAAATTGAAATGGATAGCTTATCCATCTGGCTGCCTGAATTTAAACTTTTCAACTGCCCCAGGACCTCTTTTTCTTGGACATATTTACACTTATTCCAAGAACACAAACCAACATCTAATGACACATTCAGTAAGTCCATTATGGCAGAAAAAATTTTAGGGGGGAGGGAGTCATTTACGTTGTTCAGAATCCATAGTGATAATGTCCAGCATTGTCCTAGATCATTGGGTGTAGAGTTTGTACCTACCCAGGCTGTGTCTTGGTTTCTATCAGCAGCTGAACCTGACTTTCTAACACAACAGGCAGATATGAAGGTAACTCTAAGGACTTGTAAATATATTGGCTTGAACCCTCTTCTTACCACTTAGTTTTATTATGCTTAGCTTGAAACTGGCATTCCACTTAAAGTACAATCTCAGGATACTAGCTGAGAACCTAATAATTCCACAATACTTTCCAAGCCATGAGTAGTGACTGAGCAACAGGGAGAAGTTATTACACAATTGCTAAGTGTCATGCCCTCTGTATTTTGTTTATATTACCTGATTATTTTGATAAACTTGGGTTGAAGGTTAAAAACAGGGGAGAGATTCATGGAATACTTACACATCTACAGCATGGATCAACATTAAAATCATTACACTGACTCCAAGAAACCAGCCCAAAGAGTCCACATACTGTGATTTCATTTCCATGAAATGTCCAGAATAGGCAAATCTTCAGAGACAGAAATTAGATTAGTGGTTGCCTACGGCTGGAGGGTGGAAAGGGAACAGAGGGAAACTGCTAACGTGTATAAGATTTCTTTTGGAGATGACGACAATGTTCTTACAATTAGATTATGGTGATAGCTGGCCAAACTCTGAAAACATACTAGGAACTACCACATTTTAGATTTCAAATGAGTGAACTTTATGAATGTAAACTATATATGGAAGCCAACATGACATAGTACTTGAATTCTGCCTTGTCTGGTAGTTCCTGTGATCACTCTGAAATGGACATACATTGAACTTTAGTTCTGTACCAAAGATAGATAACATAGAAATGTAGGAAACTTGGTATTTTTAGTTTTCCTTTGTACATAGTCCTTCCTTAATATGCAATGATTTTCAGTCAGTCACATTCCACAGTTAACTAGGTACAGAATAAAGCTGCTCAAGGAAGAATGCATTGGACATGAGCAAGCATGTTTTCAGACTCACTTACCTGCTGCATTGTGCTTATGATATTCAATAATCTCAGGAATTGAACCAAAAGCATGTTTTTCTGCTAGGTAATACTTCTTTGGAGATGTGGCTGTTTCCTTTATATGATAATGCCTGAAACCTGATGAACCTTCTCTAAAACAAAAATCAGAGTGCGTTAGAATTAAGTTGGTATAATACTACTGAACACTTAATACCTTCTCTACAGAGCAACCACAAGCTCCTTTGATGTGGTTCATTCTATTCCCAGCACAAACTTCACTTTTCCCCAAGTTCTTTTTAGCTTCATCTTCCACATTAATATGTGGAAGTTTCCAAAGTGGTCACTGACAACATATTTGGCTGCTAAAGGAATATCTGCCAACCCCATTAAGAAACCATAAAAAGACAAAACAGCTGTTGTCTACCCTGTCGGCAGATACTTGCAAATGTCTAAAACACTTACACCTCTAAAAGAAAATAAATTAGGCTTATGAATGTACATATTCCTCTACAACCTTCCCTTAAGATATCTTCCTAGGACACCGAGCACTTTGACTCAACTAGCCAATCCTCCATCTCCAAGAGCCAGCATCCCTATGGGCACCAGTTTAAGACCAAGTTGCTCCACTTCCCATCCTTACTTAGACATAATTTAGAACAGCATTTCTGAATAACTCAGATGTTTCTTGGCTGCACCCCCACACACACACACCTCTCCTCTGCCACAGCATTTATTCACCTACCACCATACTTGCCTGCCTGTAACTCTCGCTAAGCTATTAAAGGGCAGGGTCTGTGCTCATTTCATTCACTGCTGTAGTCTTGTGCTCAGCTCAGTGCACAATAATGTGTTGAACTTTTCTACAGTTCCTACAACCATTCTTAGCAAACATACCACTGTGTGCTGCATAATGACATTTCGATGAAACCTGCATAAACAACACTGTCTTGTAGTTACATGACCTAGTGATGCTGTAGTGGCTTAGTTTATGCAAGCAATCCATGATGTTTACAAAATAACAAAACTATCCAATACAGTTCTGAGAATATATGGGGTCATTAAGTACTGTGCAACTCTATACAGAAAACTACTGAGAAAATTGCTGAAACTAAAGACAAAAAGCCATATAAACTCTTAGAAACCAGGTTTAGGCTTTATGTCTTAATATTAAAACTACAGATAATTTTTTTTGAAAATCAGAATACAGAAAACAATATAAGAATTCATCCCACCCCCCAAAAATGTCTAAAACAAAAAACAAAAAGAGTAGATTACTTACCCTCCAAATTTCGTATATAGGGACACTGTGTACAAGCCTGGTTGACTGGAGTCCCTTACCATAAAACCACCTTCTTTATCCTAAAGTCCAAGTTGAGAAAATATTTTTAATATAATTACTAATAACAATGTCCCAGAGAAGATTCAAGAACTCACAATTTTATGATTTCTACTCTTTCCCCAGAAAATCGATTTTGCAGAAACACAGCTTACCACTAGGGCTCTTTCCTCCCCCCTCCCCACAACCACATAACCTTATACTTTACTTCATGCCACTGAGCTGAGACCAGCAAAAACAAAGCACATGGACTTTCCCAGCACTACAACATCTCTCACATGCTACTGTGAGGCGTTTCAATCCAGTAGTCTTTCAAAGACTGTCTAGAACCCATAGGTAAGATTCTGCAATTCTCAACATCTTGAACATGTGAGAAAATGGTTATTGAAAAACATTTCTAGAAGCAGTGCTGTAGTTCAGCGCATTAGGCTGCCACCTGCAACACTGGTACCCACATGAGCTTAAGGTCAGCTGCTACACTTTGGATGCAGCTCCCTGCTGATGCACCTGAGAAAGCAGCAGGTAATGGTTCAAGTGCTTGAGCCCTTGAACCTGACCCAGCTCTGGCTATGGCTGGCATCTGGGAAGTCAACCAGCAGATGGGAGATCACTCACTCTGTATTTCTGCCTTTCACATGAATAAATAAATAAATGTTTTATTTAAAAGGAGAGAAAAGAAAAAAGATTTTACTGAATGACTGAGTTTTATATCATACTTTTTTCAATATTTGCTCTAAGCTTTGAATCCTGGTTCAATTTCATTTATATTCATATAGCCTTTTTCTGTAAGTATCTCAGTGTTCTTTATAAGAGTGTACTTACAAATCCTTAATTCCCCAGGAGTCAAAGTTAAATGTCATTTTTGACAAAAGCGATGGACATCCAAGTAATGTAAGCAAAGAAAATTCAAAGCCAGAATAAAAAGGAGACTGTGTTTGGAAATTGGATCTTTACCAGGGTGTCTATGTTAAAATGAGATAATTAATGTTGTCCCTAATCCAGTAAGACTGTTGTCCCCATAAAAATTAAAATTTGGGAGGCAGCATTGTAGATCAGTAGGAAAAGCTATTACTGCCTGCAATGTCAGAATCCCAAATTGATGCTGGTTAATATCACAGCTGCTGCACTTCCAGTCTAGCTTCTGGTTAACGTGTTGGACTGCTGAAATCCATGTGGGAGACCCAGATGGAGCTCCTGCCTCCTGTTTTGGCCTGGCACAGCCCCTGGATGCTGTTGCCATTTGGGGAGTAAACCAGTGGATGGAAGCATATCTATGTATCTCTACTTCCCTTTCTGTAACTCTTTAAAAATTTTCCTTTTAAAAAAGGCAGCATGAAGCAGAATTGGATATAGAGACAGAAATGCCAAGAGGGAAGAGTTCACGATCCTGCCATCTGCAGGCTGAGGTCAGAGGTCTAGGAGTGATGACTCTAAGCCCTGAGAAGGAGCCAACCCTGCCAGCCCCTAGATTCTGACCATCTCACTCTGAAAGCATGAGTGGGCAGAGTTCCACTGCTCAGGCCACTAGTGCCATTTGCAGCACTTTGCTATTGAGTAAACTGACACAATGGCCTTCAATTTTAAATATTTATACAAAGCTAAGCCTGTACCTGCATTACAATATGTCCCAACTTTAGAAGCAGAGGTCTATGGCACTGCTTACCAGGGAGTCACTAAAACTAACCTGTACCGAAATGAAACACACAAAACAAGTACAGACACTTACCTCACTTCTGAGGAGTTGCTCTGCCTTGCTTCTATTCATATTTCGACAGTACCATCTGAACAGAACAAACACATTTAAGCCTTCAGGTTTTTAAAAACTGTTTTTGTTCCTAGTTGGATTCATAAGGTAATACAATTCAATGATAATAAATATCATAAATAAGACTTTATTTCTAATTTCAATAAAGAACAACTGGTTAACTTTGATATATACAATTCTTGAGTTTTTTCTATCCATATTTTAATGAAATTATATACTCACATTGTTTTATTTAGGTAGAATCAAATCACATCTGCTATATCATAACCTAGGTTTGTCATATGATAGACATTTAAAAAAATCAATATAGCTCTATGTGTTACAGCATGGATGCGTCATAACCAATTTAAGCTACCCTCATCATTCAACAGAATGATGAATGATCATAAAATCTAGCATTTAATGATCATAAAGTCATAATCAGAATTTCTGCTCTATTGACTCCAGCATGCAGGAAATGGCACCTTATTGACTTTTAATTCAATTTTGAAACCCATGCACGACTTTTTCATGGAGTAATTTTTCCAGACTTTCTGAAGACTCCTCACACACATGAATTTCAAAAATCTTGCATCAGCATAGATTGTCTTTTAGTTTCATTTTCTACGACCTTTTTGATATCACATTGTACTAACTCATAATATATTTTTAAGTGAAAATAAGATTTAAACAGTATAGACAGCACAATTCTATCTTCATACAAACAGTAAAAAGACGGAAAGAAAATTTACCAATGTCATGTCTCTACAGATCAACTCAATTATGAGGAATATTAACATTATCTCACGTTATCAAGCAAAGCTGTGATCTTCTTAAAATCAATTCAATGTTTTCTACATGTTTACACGCAATCATACACAGTACCTTCAGGAAAAATGATTCCTAGAGATCAACTCTTATAATTTTTTCTTATGCTAGATACCTCAATAAAGAATATATTGGTACTACTTTCCAAAGATAATGAATGCTTAAACTTTAAACATTAAATTTCTCAATGCCTCACATCATTAGGAAAATGAAAACATTTTCTAGTTTTTCATATTCACAAAATAAACATTTACTTACTCATATTGATCTAAATTGTTTGATTTCTTTCCCGTTACATAATTACTTGGGATATATCCTTCACTCCTAGAAATTTAAAAAAAAAAAAGACTCTAGCAAACATAAATTATTGAAAGATTATTAAAAGAAAGGAAGATTACTGATTTCTAGGATAACTAAGGCATATTGTCTAGCTTATAAGAAACATTACCTGACTCCTGTTAACATATCTGTATTATCTAACATTATACAAATTCTTCTATATTTGATCCTCACAAAAATTCTAAGGTAGCCATGCATCATAGCACCAATTTTTTCATAAGGAAATCAAGGCTTAGACAAATGAATGCAGTTTCTCAAGGTCCCCAAGGCAGCAAGCAACAAGGTCAGAACTTGCCCTCTGGACTTGTGAAATGAATGGTCAGTGCTCTTCTCAATGTTTCATAATACTTCTCCAGAACTCACAATTTCTTTGGATGTTTTAAGTAAAGAAATCTTTCAGAAACTTTAAAGTGATGGATTGAAAACATCACCAAGTCTAGTACCTCCAATTCCTTGCAGAAATGGTTCACTAAGGACTGTCCCTGACTTGTGCATGATACTTACTAAAGAGGGGACAAAATTCCCTTCACAGTCAAAATAATCTAATTAAAAAATACAATGAATGAGAAAAAGACCAGTGTCAACTATTGTAATTTGCAAAGAAGAGATGTGATCAGCTCATTTTTAAGTGGTCGAGTGACCACTTAAAAATGCAAAATAATAATGTGTTCTTCCAGTTTTGGCCAACTGAACCAGCCTGGTCATGTGGTAGTTATACCTCTTCCTCTTTCCACTCAGCAAACACCCACTCCCAACCCGCTGTATGCCTCACGGAGAGGGAATACTGACCCATATTTATCTCTTGCTCGCCACCAATGAACATCATTCTTTTCTAAGATGATATACTCTTGGCCTCTCTCTAATCGCAGATCATGTGCTTCTGTTGCTTGGAAGTCATACATTGCCACAACTATTTCCTCACCATTATCTTCTTCTTCAGGAGGAATTGGTGGGGGAGGCCTTCGCTAAACCAAGGAGATAACATTTGAAAGTTTAGTCTCCTGTTTGACAGTGCTCACACAGTAGAACAGTGTAGGATTTTCCTCACATCACTGGAGAAGAAACTTGCGGTCTAACAGAAACTGCCTAATGTGGCAGACCCTCCAATGCTGGAGATGCTGATGCTACTGGTCCTCTCCTGGGGTCAGCACACAGGGGAAGAGCAAAGACTGTTTTTAAACATGAAAAGGGATTTATCCAGTGTCAGAGGAAAGATAAGGGTAAGATATGACTAGAGACCAGGAAGACTAAAGAAGAGCCAGCATCCAACTGGCCTTCAGCACAGGAAAGTGCTCTCATCAAGTCTCTACCCAAAGGAATTTATACTGTGTTATGCCAACAATGAGCAAAGCACATGCTTAGAACCTGCCATGTTTGTACTTTTCTTTTTAATTTTTAATTTTTCATGTTGTTTACATAGTTGACAAGGATATGAGCTCATGAGGACCACTGCTCTTGTAAAGCAGAGTATTACAATACCCATTTTACAACTGAGGTAACAGTGCCTTTAGTAACTCATTGCTACAGATCAGATTCTGACCAGGTCCACAGCGCAGGCTTCCTCCACCATACCCACTTGTCAAAGGCACATCGCCAACATATGGAAGTCACTCCTTTGTCACAGCAGTCTTATGATCAAAACATTCCTTTAAAGTTCCATAGCTCTCACAAAGTTCTATCCATTGGTTCACTCCCCTAATGGTCGTAACAGATAGTTATGCCAGACCAAAGCCAGGAGCTTGGAACTCCACCAGGTTTCTCAAATGAGTGACAGTAGCCCAAGTGCTTGCATTCCTCTGCTTTAACAGGCTTATTACCAGAGAGCTAGACAGGAAGTAGACAGCCAGAACTAGAACTGGGACTCACAAAGGATGCTTGTACAGTGCACCACAGACAGCAGCGTAAGCTGCTGTGTTACAACTCTAGCCCCTAAAATGCATATTATTTTTTAAATGCATGAATGTAAAGGTTTTAAAATATCAAAATAAACTTCTTGTAATTCCACCTCCCAGAAACTTTCTGAAGTACCCTCATACATGCAAAATGCTGGATGATAACACGACCCTTAATGATAAAATTTGATACAACTGATACTATTTGACACCAAGAAAAAGCCAAACAAGCCAGAGTACTTATGCTTCTGGAATGATCCTGAAGGAAAAGTTATATGAACAAATGTACTCAATAAACCACAAAAGCTTCCTTGACTAATAGGCTTTCAGGCTTGAATTACTAAACTTATAGACCTGCAGACTTGAAACGCAAAGACCAAATACCCACAAGTTAGAGACCACCTACCTTCTTCGTTTCTGGTGCTGGAGGTAGTGCTTTTTTTATACCTGCAAATGCCAACAATAAAAATGGATCACAATGTTATCTACCACTGACAAAAGTGTGCTGGTAGTTGGAAGAAAAAGTGAGAATCAGCACATAGATAAGAAATTCCTCCTGACTCTGGTTGCTCTTATCACTGTTGTAGAACAGAATTAAAAACTGCTTTTATAGCTGGTTGTATTTCTGTCTTCTTGAACAGACTATAAATGTCATGATGACTGGGACCCTACCATATTCTTCATATCCCTTCCACTACATAAACTATGAACAATGCTTATTGAGTCAAACAATAAGTTGAAATTAACAAGGCAATCTGTCCCTTCCTCTACTTCCCAGTTTTAACTGGCTCAGAGCTCCCAGGTAAAGATGGAATTTCCCAGCTAGGTGTGGACAAGGAACCAAATTCTGATCAAAGGCCTCTATGTACAAATTAGATATATCATTTTCATTTTTTCAAATTGATTTCATTTTTAAATGCCCACAACATCTGAGCCTGAGCCAGACTGCTGACTCCCAAGGTTTGCATTAGCAGGTTGTGGGATAGAAAGCAAAGATGGGACTGGACCACAAGCACTCTGTCGCTACAACACCTGCCCAGTGCTTCTAGTCACATATCTTAACCTTAAACAACCTATGGTTTCCTTCTCTGTTTCTGCTGCCAAGAAGAGAAAGAATACAAAAGCTGGGCCAATCTCAAGAACTACTTTAAAGACTACCCCTACCACCACATGTGACCATATTGCTACATGAGACTGAAATAAAATCTTCTCTGTAGTTGAGGTCATACTAATTTCTGGGTCTCTTCTTATAGCAGGAAAGAGTGTGCACATTAACTAATGTCAAACCTTATGAAATCAAAATGGTAACAATAGTCTTGCAACTGTGAGCCTGTCTCTTCAATGTGCCAAATTAATGTCAAGACATCCAAAAGATTCAGGGAGCTGCACCCCATAGAACTGAGTGCTGAATAGAATGAGAGGGTCATCTGGACTCGCCTTTTGCACAGAGCAGCATCCCTGACAAATGACAGCTCTGCCCACAACAGGAAGCTTGACCAGCCCTGACTGGCAGGGTGCAGCACCTCACATGGCCCCAGCAGAAAAAGAGAAGTATAGCACACTCAATTATTCTGAGCAGCATCTTACAGTATGCACAAACTGAGTGTGTGTTTAGCCCATAACTAATGGCCTTTCGTTTCCAGTAGGTTGAAGGGTCCTTGGTGTCAGTATTAGCCCTAGACATTTTGTTTCCTCTGAATATTGACATGGCACTCTCATCATGACAGTTCATCATTCTGTCAGTTGTGGAGCCACTTGTAAAATCTCTATCACCAAGCTGTATGAGAACAAAAACAACCCTACTCAGATGCACTGCTCAATGATGTCTCTAGCTACGTGGCTGGGAAGTTTATCGTTAAGAAAGCAAAAAATTAGTGAAGAAACACTGCTGACAGAGCCACACTGAGCTCATGTTGTAAATAGATTCCTTTTGAATAGGCTTCAATATTGTCATTTTAAAAGCTCCCCAAAACAGAACTTTTGATTCCATGAGTAGGTCCCACTGCTAACCAAATATCATCATTCTTATAAGACATACCTACTGTATGTTTTCATCATGCTAGAGAGTGTGAGGTAATTAATGAAACCACTTCATCATATCAATAACAAAGTCATTCTAACAACAATCATGGAAGACGAGTACTTACTGCTTTCAAAAAGATTGTATTTTTCACATCCAGGAGCTAGCTTTTCCGTCTGTCTACAACACTGATAACTTCCATCTGCCCAGAACTTGGGATGATATTTAATCATAATATTATTGTTGTTCTTTATTTCTGGAATTCACAGATAGAGTCATGATTAGAGATCGCACAATGCTGTAACACTGTACATCATTACTTATTCCTTGGATATTATGTTCATCATAAGAATACTTCAACATCATAAGGCTATGCACTAAGAAAGGCCAAAAGGTTCTCTCACTTCCTTTTTTGGGTGAAACACCCTTTCTCAGCAGAAGTAACTGCTGCTACATCAGGAAGGGTTTATGCAAAAGTTGTTCCACCAGCATTTTGTCTGTAAGAAAAGTAATAGGATTGCACAGGAATAACATTTAAATCTCGGGTATATGTCATTCAATCTATACCAAAAGTAGACAACCCAGGCAATTTCTTAGAAAATACAGAATTGTGCTAACAGGTGTTACTGCCTTCATATGTATTACAGATTTAGTGTAAGCAGGCTTTTCTTAAAAAATATTTACATGCAACTGGCAAGAATATGATTTTATTGTATCATTTTTAAGGGATTTATTTATTTATTCTGAAAGTCAAAGTTACAGAGGGAGGAAGAGGCAAAGAGATAGAGATCTTCCATTGCTTCACTCCCCAGATGGCTGCCATAGCCAGTGCTGGGCCAGACTGAAGAAAGAAGCAGGAGCCAGAAGGTTCCTCCATGTCTCCACGTGGGTAACAGGGTCTCAAACACTGGCCATTGTCTGCTGCTTTTCCCAGGCCATTAACATGGTGCTGGACTGGACGTGGAGGAGCCTAGACTTAAATGGCAACCATAGGATACTGGTGTTGCACCACAATGCTGGCCCCCAAAAAGCACATTTTAAACAGGGAAGGTAGCTCCAGCACATGTTGGTATCATAGTCACAGAAAGTTCTTGAGGAAAGTCAGTGTAGGTTAGGAAATTGTGCATTCAAGAATCATATTAGCTTTATTTCTGTTTTAGTAATGATAATGTTGTCTCCTAAAATTATGGAGAGGTTAATTCTGTCATTTACATGAATTTTACCTTCTTTTAACTTCTTCACCCACTTGTCCCGACTATGTGCACTAGGTGCAAAAATATAAAGTGTGTTCACATCATGGACAACCTACAATAATACGAAATAAGAACTTGGTGAGAAACATTTAGACACAACATTTTCTGTCCAGTCAAGAGCCCTGCGCACCACAGTTTTTGAGATAGGATCTAAAGAACATAAACATGTTTTTTTATAAGATTTAATTATTTTTTATCTGAGAGGCAGATTCACACAGAAAGAAGGAAAGACAGAAACTCTATCTGCTGGTTCACTCCCCAAATGGCTGGGGGTTCAGCAGGCTGGGCAAGGTAGCCCCAGCTGTTGGAAAATATGTGGGTTAATATTGGAAGGGGGTGGACTGGGCAGGGCCAAGCAAACCTTAGCCCACCAGCAAATGCAAAAGCCAGGATGGAACGCAGGTCATGCCAGGCTAGGCTGTCACATCTACTCGTTTGCATGAGCCAGGGATGGGAGCAAGGATGGTTGCAGCACCCGCCAGTGAGAGTTAGGGTTAGGGACTAGGGGTCAGCCCAGGGACTGGAGCTCAGGCCAAGCCAGGAAACAGCATCCAAAAGCAAAGGCTGAGACAGGGGAGGGACTATGCCAAGCTGGGTCAAAGAAACCACTGGCACATGCAAAATCTATGGATTGCAACAGGCCTGGTTGGGGAATAAAGGGGACACTATGGCCGGGTTGTGGTTTCCCCTGGTGAGCACGAGGGCCAGTGTGGGGACTGTGGTTTGGTCTGGACATGGTAACATTGTCCCTTGGCACAAGTGTGGACTGGGTCTTGGGTGTGTCATACTGAGCTAGACTCCAGCACCCACAGGTGATCATGAGAACCAGAATAGGTGTAAGACAGGCTGGCCTAAGTCTCTGCCCCTGTGAGTTAGGTATGAGCTGTGTCTGGACGCGGACCAGGTTTGGCTGGGCTGTAACACCCAAAATAAAAACTGGAATGCGTGAATGCCGGCCAGAAAACATTACTGTTCTTGCTAGGATAGGCAGTAGACTAAGTAGGGCTGGCCCATGGAACCACCCATGTGTGTGAGATCTGGGATTGGGAGAGGTTCTGACGGAGGAGCTTGGGGAACTCTTCTGTCAGGACACAGTCCCTGTAGGTGAATGCAAGAACCAAGAAAGGAAGCAGTCTGGAGCCGGCCAGGTAATGATACCCACCGGCATACATTTGCAACAGGTTAGGGGCAAGCCAGGCTGAGCCAGTTTACATCACCCGCTGGTGAATCTGAGCACCAGACTGGACTGTGGGTCAGGACAAATTGAGCCATAATACCAGCCAGCTTATACTAGGGCCGGGACTAGAGGCTGTCTGGACTGGGCTAGGCTGTAGCCCCCACTAGCTGGAATTCTGGGTGGGCCAGGTAGGACAGGCTATAGCACCCACTGGAAAATGCTGAGGTAAGGTGGGCCATGCCAGACTGGGCCGCAGCATCCAACCAGCACAGGTAAGACCTAGGGAAGGAGGGGACAAACCTGGTGGAGGGGGAGGCTGCATGGGTCTCGCTGGCTAGACCAGCACTCCCACTAGAGAGCATGAGAGCTGGAATGGGGACAAACCAGACCAGGCAGGGCTACAACACCTCTTGGCCTCATGTGAGCTGGATCAGGGGAAAGCCAGGCTGGGTTGACTGTTCCTATGGGCACATGCATAAGCCGGAGTGGGTCAAGGTCAGTTGGGTTTTGCCACAGCATCAGCTGGCAGATGCTAGCATGGGGGGCAAATTCTGTCAGGCTAAACTGTAGAACCACCTGGAGAGTGCAAGATCCAGGAGTGGGAGTGGACCCAGTAGGGAAACAGTGGGTACCTCCCTCTTGGGTTGCCACTCTGACTGGCAAGGATGAGAACCAGGACTGGGGCAGGCACGGTTAGACAGTGAATGGCACCTGCCAGCATACGTATGGGCTAATAGTGGAGCTGGCTGGGTTGAACTAGGCTTCAGTGCCCATTGACATGTGTGAGAGCTGAATGGAATGTGGGATAGAAAGGACTGGTCTACTGTACATACTGGCAAGCATGGGAACCAGGGCAGGGGGGCAGGCCTGGTGGGGGTTATTGTGGGTCAATTGCTACTGGTTTGCGTGAGGGCCGAGTATGTGGTGGGCAGAATCAGGTTGGGCTGAAACACCCATTGGTTGTAGAGAAGACAGGGCTAGAGACAAAACTGACCCAGCAATGGCAACCACCAGCATGTGTGTAAGCTGATTTTGGTGACAGACTGTACCAGTCCCTGTATTGGCAAGCACACGCAATAATCAGGTCCGGGATCACCTCAGATGAAGTTTCTTTGGGAATCCCCCCAAATGAATCACTGGACTCAGAGCCCCAACCATGGGGAGAATTGCAGGTTTCATGGTCTGAGTGTGGAGTGCATGTGTCAGAGCTGGTCCTCCTCAGGGACTTAGATGGAGCAGTGACCAGTATATCCAGGTGCTGATGAAGGATATGGCAGGACATTGGTGTCTGCAGGGGACACCTGGCACTATAACCGAGGATGGAGGACAGAACAAATTCAGCAACTACCCCAACCATGTGTTGACAGAGAATATCTAAGGTGAACTGTGTCAACCAGTGGATTCTGGAGGGATTTCATCATGCTTGGAGTGGTGAGATCAGCAGTAATTCAGAAATATCAAAACCTCTTGAGCAGGACCCTCAGAGATGCCCCACATTGGAGTCCCTGAGGTGGTGTCAGGTGGATGTCCTCCATCCCAGTGTACAGAGGCGCTTGGGGGACTGGGTGTGGCTTCTCCCACTATCTCCCTCCTTCCTCCAGATACAGGAAGGAAAAAAAAGAGAATGTGGAAATAATGGTCTCCTACCTTCCTGTAGCCCTTGACCCTAACACCTTAATCAACTGCATAAAAACCATCAAAAATAAAAATAATTATCGGGGAAAAAACTTGAATATCTTAGCTGACAGCTTCCAGCCTATCTTAATTCCCTAAACTGGTACACAATTATTTCAAATGTGATTGATGATTTTATGGTAGCAGTGAAAAAAAAAAAAACAGAAAACACATAGAAGCACTATATTGAAAAATATTTTGGCAACTTTCCCCTCAGGATGTGATGAGGCCACAGACGGGAGTGAAAGAGGACTTTCACTTGGGGATGCTCACCACTCAAAAAAAAAAAAAAGTGCAAAAATGTCTTCTATCAGAGAGAGGCTGATGTGCTGCTTGAGAGGGTCCCTGTGCTGCCTGAGCTGTCACAGCATGGGCACACCTGCTACAGATGCAGACTGGCCCAGATGCTACACTTACCCTCAGCAAGACCATCTCAGCATGTGCTCTTTAAATTCACAAAGCGGCACCGCATAACTCATTTAACACTTGGGTGGCTCTATTCCGTTAGTCATTAACGAGAATACTATGATTTGACCTGCTGTACTTTGCAAGATCATCCTGGGGTTGGAATGGAGATATGGAATATCAGGCTAACCCTTTAAACAGTACAGTTGAATCAACAGATAATGCTTAATACCTCTTCCATCACAAGGAGCCTTTTCATCTCATTTCTGCTTGACAGTAACTCATCAGTGCATTCGGTCTCGGCCTCTACTGCTAGCTTTAACTGCTCTCTGATAAATCTGAGTAGCAGTAAAAAGGATTTGGTGTTGAGAAACTCAGGGCTGTGAGCAGTGTCTAAATAGATCAAAACAAGAACTAACCAGTGTTTCAATTAATACTCAAGAAGTTAATGGAAAAAAAGGCAATTATTAAAAGTGGCAAATGAACCCAAAACATCAGTCATGAGAGGGTGACAGGAAACTGTAAAGTTAAATAGCAAATATGACCGAAAGCCCAGCCCAGCACTGTTGCGAAAGCACACCAGCTCACCTGAAACGGATATTTATTTTGACAAGGAATGACAGCATCATCATTCTTCACTATTTCCACACATTTGATTTTGGAAATATCAATAAATCCTTTTCTGTATTTTTTCTGTTAAAAGAAAAAAGAGGGGAGGAGTATTACAAATGACAATTGTACATCAGAAACACTATTAATAGTAGTAATTGTTAATGAAGTTGTTGAATCAAAAAAACAGAAATTTCCTAAATAATTATTGTCTCCCTTAACTGTTAAAGTAACACAAAACACTTAGCTGTGATTAACTCTAATCAAAAGTAAGTTCTTTAATTTCTCAAGATGAAACTCTTCTGTCCTTATCCCCAGAAAGGTCTAGGACTCAGGGGGACCCCCTTTCATTGCTGCCTTCCCCTCCCAGACACTTCCCTCTGTCAGCTTCTTCTTCTTTTTTTTAAAGATTTATCTTTATTTCCATTACAAAGTCAGATATACAGAGAAGAGGAAGACAGAGAGGAAGATCTTCCGTGCAATGATTCACTCCCCAAGTGACTGCAACGGCCGGCACTGCTCCGAACCAAAGCCAGGAGCCAGGAACCTCCTCTGGGTCTCCCACGCGGGTGCAGGGTCCCAAAGCTTTGGGCCGTCCTCAACTGCTTTCCCAGGCCACAAGCAGGGAGCTGGATGGGAAGCGGAGCTCCCGGAATCAGACCCGGCGTCCACATGGGATCCCGGCGCGTTCAAGGCAAGGGCTTTAGCCACTAGGCCACACCACCAGGCCCTACCCTCTGTCAACTTCTTGATGACACTCCTTTCCACTCATCCAAAAGCCAGCACTGGGAACCAAACCAAGGAGAAGCGCCTGTCACCCAGTCACAGACACAAGCTCCAGGCAGACAGCACTCAGACCTCAGGGTCATGCAGGTGGACTTAATCACAAAAGTTTCCCACTTATCCTTAGATTCAATTGCTCTCCTTTTCCCCCCACAGCCCTCCCTCCCTCTATGCAGATGTGCACTGCAGCAGTGAATTCTGGGCACAGTAAGACCCCATCTCCAAATCACTGACTCCCTGGAGCACAGTCATCTCTGCACCTGAGAATCCATCCAAAACAACACAAAGCAGCAGGTGCAAAGATAACATAACAGGCTCACTAAAAAGTAGTAAGAATAAAAGTGTTTAATGCTAGGATGAACTGGAAACATCCCACACTGGAAGTTGTGCAGGACTAAGGTAACTTCATTTGCTAGTTATGCATACAGTATAGAGAAGGGAAGGTGAAGAACACCAGGCCATCCCTGGACCCTGTTTGTTGAAGACAGCTAACACTGGCAACCTTGGGGTTTTTTACCCTGACCTAGGAACCTATTGCGCATCTCTGCTATCATTCTAAGACTGTGACACTTGTCCACCCTCTGGCTATCAGCAGCCCATATCCCAACTATATTCTGGTTATCATTTCACCAATGCCTTCTATTTCCTCCCTCGCTCTCCCATTCTCCCAATCCATCTGTCTCTTATACATGTATACATGAAGCTATACCCCCTTTGATGTTACTTCATCCTGGACTCATGATATCCCTACCAAGTAGGCCCTACCCTCCCCACTCTAGCTCAAGGATCTCAAATGACCCCAAAGCCCACTAGACTCCTCTGTGTCCCTGACTCCAAGACCTCCTGGGTTTCCTTCCCTCCCTTCCTCTCAGCTTCTCATGGGACAAATGCCTGCAGTGTGTCAACAACCACCTGGAGGAACCAAATGATCAGATAGGGAAAACTCATTTCCCAGCATGCAGCTGCAGACTTGAGCCAGGTGATTTCAATCCTCAGTGTCCCCACAAAATTTGGTAATTTTCCCAAATTTACCTAGGGGAGAGACCAAATAATTACTGTATAACATAATAAATGTCATACAGAAAGAGATGCAAGAGTGGGCATTTAACTTCACACATCTGCTTCCTGTGGTTGATTTCCCAGATCCAACTCCTACCTCTAGCTTCCTACTATTGCAGTGGCAGCCATGGCTCAAGTGATTGGTTTCCTGCCTCCCACATCAACACCTGGATCGCACTCCTAGCTCTTGTCCTAGCCCAAACCATTGCAAGCATTTGGGGCATGAACTGGCTGATGGAGGCTCTTTCCCTCCACCTCTCAAATAATTTTATAAGCGTGAAGAGAACACAGAAAAATTATGGCTTACATTTCAGAAGAGAGAGAAATCCCAGCATTATGTACATGCAAAGAAACAGTCTGGCATGCTTTCATTTTCATGTGTAAAATGTAATACTACTCATGTCATATGCTTGCTAAGAGAATTTACACGAGACAATATGGGAGTACTTAGAAACGCTTGTGAGCATTAGGCCTAGCAGTTAAGCAGCTGGTTAGGCTTCATATCTGAGTGCATGGGCTGCATGAGCAGATCTCCTTGTGACTCCTGCTTTCTGCTAACACAGATTCTGGGAGGCAGTGGTGACGATCCAACCCGTTAGGTTCTTGCCACCCATGTGAGAGACCTGGACTGGGTTCCTGGCTCCTGCCCTTGGTCCCAACATATTCCCAGCTGTTGTAAATGCTGGGAAAATAAATAAGGGAACAGGGAAGTACTTTGGGTACCTCTCTGTCATTCTGTCTGTTTATTAAATAAATAAACAAGAAATTGTGCAGTCTTTTTTTAAAAAAGTCTTGGAAAAAGGATATAAAAAGGTAAGTCTATTTTTGTGCAAAAAAAAAAACAACCTTGAAATACATTCATAGTTTTTCCATAATGCATTTTCCATGAATTTTCTGTAGATCACTTGAATTTGCAAAGCGCTTACAAGAATACATGGCCCACAGTACAAGATTTGTAAGTGGTTACTAAATTAAAAAAAAAAAATCATTATACTAAAAACATACATAGGTGGGCCCAGCGTGGTAGCCTAATGACTAAAGTCCTCGCCTTGCATTGCACCAGGATCCCATATGGGTGCTGGTTTGTATCCTGGCTGCTCCACTTCCATCCAGTTCCCTGTTTGTGATCTAGGAAAGCAGTTGAGCACAGCCCAAAGCCCTGGTATCCTACACCCATGTGGGAAACCTGGAAGAAGTTCCTGACTCCTGGCTTCATATCAGCTCAGCTCCCACCATTGCAGCCACTTGGGGAATGAATCAGCAGACAGAGGATTTTCCCCTTTGTCTCTTCTCTCTGTCTCAATCTGCCTTTCAAATAAAAATAAAGAAATCTTAAAAAAATAAAATAGGTATAGGACACACAATGAAAATGCGAGAAAGAGCATCATATAGCACCTGATGCACAGTGCTACAAGTCTGCTCTGCCATGTCCCCCACCCTGCTGCTCCTGGGGTCTGTGCGCCTTAGTGGGCAGAAGGAATCACTAAAGCACCATGTTAACAAGCCAGACACACTCATTCTAGAAACAGTAGATAATACTAACAGTACAGACAACAGTGGAGCGGGCCGGGAGGAAGCCACTGTTGACATCATGGAATTTATCTAGACACTGCTCTTGGCAGCATTTTCCCCCTGCCAACTCTCTAGTCCTGTAGCAGCAGGCTGTAATCTGTGTCCCAAATGCCCATCTCCACCAGCCACATGCCTTGGCCACCAAAGGCAGCTTTTAGATAGGAGTTAATCTATACAGAAAATTTTGAAATTGCATATATATACCAGGATATATATATATATATATATGGGGTTGAATAGCTCCCACTAAATTCACACTTCCTGAGATATAATATCTAAATGTATAAAACTATAATTTGGAGTTATGTATCCAGATATCTTTCTATGAAACTAACAGATAAAGATTGAAATCTAAGTTGTTCTTTCGTTATTTTAGCTATTTTGCCAACAAACACTGACAGACCATCAACCAGGCACCAAGTGACATGCTGTGTGCTAAAATTCAAAGTCATGCAAGGCAGGCAAGTGGACCCTTCAGGATTTCACAATCATTTGGTGGGTGTAGGGGGAAGAAGTGAAAAGTCATGATCTCAAGTGATAATGGAATGTTCTTTTGTGGTAGGGCCAGAAACAGTTTGGGAAGTTAGAGGGAGGAAGTGACCTTTTTCATTCAGTTTTCAAAGGATGTAGGAGTTTCACTGTAGAGAAAGTGAAGAGCACTCCAGGCACAAAAACAAAACAAAGCAAACAAACAACAATAACAACAAAAAAACAGGTTGTGTATTTGGGGACCAAAAAAGGCGTTCACTGTGGCTATAGTTCATGGTGGTTCAGTGGAAGTGTAAGGTCAAGGCCAGATGGGAAAGGGACCTCCATGGTCAACTTAGCAGATCGAGGGTCTAAGTGATAAGCGGGGAGTGCAGGACTCAGGGATGCTTTGGAGAAGACCACCGGTGGCAGTGTATAAACAGGTGGACTTGGAGGGCAGGAAAGGTGCTAGGAGACTACCTCAACAGTGCAGATGAGAGAAAATGAGGTTCTGAACCAGACGGGGCAGCAAGTAGAGGGAGGAAAGCAGGAAAATGCTGTGAGCACTAAGATAAAGGAATTCACACAGAGATGGAAGGTGGGCACCTGGCCTAGCAGTTCAGCAGTTGGGCCACCTGCATCCCACATCAGACAACCTAGATTTGATACCTGGCCCCAGCTCCTTGCTCCAGCTTCCGCAGACCCCAGGAGACAGCAGTGATGGCTGAGTTGATGGGATTCCTGACACCCACAGAGCAGACCTCGCCAAGTCTCTGGCTCCCAGCTGCTGCATTGCAGACCACTGGGGAGGAGGCCTGTTCTCATTCTCACTCACTCTCTTTTTTTCTCTGCTTCTTACATAAATGAGGAAGGAAGGAATGTTGTAAAGGGCGGAGAAGATGTTGGGAAAGCTCAGAGAACATGAATTTGAGGGACCAATGACCACTGGTGCCATGGTCCTTGACAAGGAAAATAAAAGGGGGGTCAGGTCTGAAGAGGCATGGCTATAAAATGGTGAGTGACTTCAAACAGCAGGTTTAAAACCACTGGGAGGCAGTCAAAAATGCATTTTCTTTATGCCTGAAGATAATTCTGCCTTTCCAGTAGTATCTTAATCCAGCCATCTAGTCACATCTCAGACAGGGCTAAGGAAGGAAAGGCTTGGGAATGCTAAAGGATTCAGCACATGGAACAGTTACTGA